CCCTTGGGTTCAACAGTTATGATATTGCTTACGAGACGCTCATGAAATGCATGCATAGAAAATTGCTGATTATATAGAAGAACAAACCGATCCGCTTAAAGAAAATATAACTAAAATCCCAAGAACCGCTCGGCTTTAGGAGAAATAGCCTCGGACTTGGCTCTTGGTACCTGCTTCCTTTATCACAAGTCATGATTTCGCAGCGCGAACAAACAATGGTTTCCGGGGGTCTAACTGACCTTCCTTCCACATATGCAAGTTTTCTTATACCCTTGGCCAGTATGCAGACATGCAATTGATGTTTTCCATTGTCAAGGCACCAAAAGGTCCCTTACTCAACTACCTAACTACCTGCAAACGTGCTTTCTCTTAGGTTTACTTGGAGCTTCTTTAGCTCTAAATCATACCATTTGGTATTGAAAACAAGTCTCAAGTTTCATTAGTTATCATTGCTTCCTAATGAACCCTTCAGCCGGTGGTACTTGAAATGTCCGCATTTACATCACTAATCACGCGGCGACAAAGACACGAAGTGGATACTTGAGAAAAAATTACAAATCGTTTGTTTTCTTTTGTTCAGTTGCATCCTTGCATTACTTGACGATTTCTGGCGATGGCATAAAACTTACGTTTTTTCGGACTCATTGTGGCAAAAAACACGGTCCGAACCAATTAAACCGCAACCTCACAGCGCGTTTCTTTTCAAAACCCGCAAAACTGTCGAAATCAGATCGAACCGTATAACAATCTTTTCGAATAAGAATAAACATTTCATCACGAAAAAAATCGAATTTCCACTGCACTCTTTCATAGCGTAGTTGGTCGATTCAAACATGACTTGTTAAAATATATTTGGCTACGATGCAAACAATATAAATAGTGTCCAATGATTCAGAAAGCGATTTATGTATATTAGCTGTATAGAGAACGCCCACTCCTTATACCTATACAGGGTGTTTGGCAAATGGTTGCTTTTCAACGGCGCGTTGAATTTTTTGCTCCATTGAAAAAAATGCCCGCTCCCCAGTCGCTTGCTACCCAAAAAAATACCAGCGAAACAATCTTGCTAGCGTTTAGTCGCTATACAAAAAAAATGTGAACTTTCATTACTCCAAAGGATGAACTGAACTGCAGTTTGACCTACTTTGAATAGTTGTAAACACAAGTCGACTCAGAGGCTGTTACGCGTTTGAAGGAAGAAAAAATAAAAATTTTAAATTAAAGAGATCGGTGGTGTGTTCAAATAGCCATCAGCAGACTTGTTATGTACAACATTTCCTGTATGAAGGCCCTTTTGGTTATCACCAACTTTACCACTCCGCACATTGCAAATAAAGCGTTTTATAAAACTGTCTCCCAGGCAATAAAAGACTAAATAGCCACTTACCATTACCCGAAGCAGCGGCTTCAGCAGGAACAGATGTAGGCTGAACCTCGAGTTCCGGACTCTTTGGTTCAACCACCGCGGGATTCTTCGACGCGTTTTTCTGGTCGTTTAAACCGCCAACGAAAACGGTCTGTTCCTTATCCTCTGAAGCGATCGGGTCTTCAACGACGGGCTGCGTATTTGCTGCTGAGCTTTCAGGCGTCGAGGCAATGTCTTCCTGTACTGTAACCGAAAAAGTCGATGTTAGCAAATTGCATTTTTGCCTGATTCGCGACTGTCCTACCTATGGAATAAATCTTGTTGCACTCTAAATCCTTAGGTTCGTCTTCCTGGTTCAAGGATTTTGAGTTCTCCAAAATTTGCTCTAAATCAGGCTTGGGCTCGCGCGGCCCTTGCTTCCGACTCTTGACGGGACTTTCGCGGTCCTTCGCTTTAGTCAAAATTACTTCGGCCGCTTCACTGTTTGCAGATACGATCGGAGTCGGCTCCTTGAAGGGCATAGAGGCGGTGCTCACGAACTCCTTGGCATCATACTAAAAGAGGACATAATAGTGAATAACACGGCTGATCCACTCAAGAGACATGGTGCTTAAACTAGAAGAAAAAAATAACACTCACCTGCAGATTGCTACTTTCTACATCGAACTTGGTGGTAGCGGATAATTTGATGCCGAACATCGAGGGCGCGACTACAGGCTGCGGATTAAACTGTTCGCTAGGCGGTTCTTGAATTACAGTAGGAGTTTCTAATGCGATGGGAGTATCTACTGAAGCACGCGGCGGTCCATCTGCATCAATTGCTTGAGCGACTTGCTTGGCAAATGCTGCCTGAATCTGCGATATGAAAAACCCAAGTAAGTAACGCTGTCTTCAAGTTGAAGTTGAAGATACACGTACCTCCTTATGGTGATTTAGAACTGGGGCAGGTTGTGGAGTTTGCCTAGCGGAAGAGTCTTCGGAAGCGGGATGTGATGCGTTCTCAAAAATTTCGTCAAGCCTATCCTGACCAGTCGATGGATCGATGATCGATAGAGCAAAAGGCCTCCGCTTCTGGCTGTTGTTGGCCCTCGAATACGAATTATGTATCGGGCCTGGCTGGCTCCCTACGGATATATTTCCAGACGCCGCATTAGGAGCAGTTGCAGCTACCGCATTTCCAGCAGGCCTGGGTATGGGCATGGAATTGCTAGCAGGCTGATAAGCCAACGGTTGATAAGTCAACGACGAGTCTGGAAAAGTGGGTTACATCAATAACAAAATTTTTCTTCATGTTAATCCATCCGCCGAAACTAGTCAAAAACAAAAATCCCCGATTATGACCCAAATTATCTCCTGGTTTTGAATATATTTTCATTGACTAAACTCAAGTAACAGTACTGACATGTGGAAGGTCCAGCTGCAGCTACAGGCGGAGGAAATGCAGGATAAGCCAACGGTTGCGGATAAACCTGAGTCTGGTAAGGCGGTTGCGCCATCAAATTATTCGGGTGTCTAGCGTTGTTGTAGTAAAGTGGCGTGTTCTGCTGAATAAACAGTGGCTGAACCACCTGATACTGTTGTTGGTAGATTTGGGCAGGGCCCTGAGCCTAAAAAAATCGAAAGGATTAATTGGCTGAATTTTTAAGGAGCAAGCAAAGAGACCTACCCGATGCTGCTGATTAGGCATTCTTTGGGGTTGTGCGTGAGGGCCTGCTGTTCCTCTTGATTGATAGAACGGTGCTGGAGCAGTTCTCACTGGTCCCTGAACGAATTGCTGCAAAAACCACATCAATTATGCCACATTTTCCACAATCATTTGCCTGTAGGAACAAATCGGAAAAGGCTCAAACACACTCTCTCTAACTAGTTCAGGGATCGTTCCCCAACTGGATTTCCTCCCTTGAAAACTGGATTATTTTTGCACTTTTATGGCAGCAACTCACCATGTTAATTGCAAACCCCTAATATATAAATTACCTGCATGTTTTTGAGACAAACAACAGCAGGCAATGGGAAATTAAGACTCCCATTCTTATTTGATTTAATTAGGACCGATGAAATGGGACTTTAATCGTCTATAGATAAATATGTGTACTCTAGGGAAAGTGACTCAATAACAAGGCATTTAGAACCGGAACCTAAACAAGATCATTAGGGAGGGCCGACACTACAAACCCAAATCAAATGACCAGCAGTACTACTTACGGTAAATATTGGGTAGATAAGAATGTGGCCATTTACCAAAATTTCGGAGATGGTTTTTCACTGCTAATGGAGAAACATATTGCACTCTACCAAGGTTCTCTCATTTACCTACATGTCGAAATAACCACGTTTAATGTACGTGGCGTCGGTTGTTTCCTGTTTAAGTCGCCGATTTTTGCATTGTTGCACAAATTTAATAATGGGAGTAAAACCGCGGACTTTTTTTAATTTTCTTGCTTGACTGGGTGGTTGATAATTTAATTAAAATCGGTTAAATGAAAAGTATTTCTTTGGCCACCCTGTATGCTCTAAATATCCTTCTAATGCGATTCAAGATTCCAAATTAACAGAATAAATGCCGGCCTTCCGGTACGGAAATGACCGTCTGGTGTCTCTACCCTTTGAAGATAAGCAAGGCTAATGAAATAAAGACGTTTTAAACATTTTCGATTAACAGATAATTTGGTTTGTGATTTACAAGTCGAATCCCACCAGGACCTGACGTTGGTAAACTTTACTGGTTGTGGTTAAAAATTCGAATTTTTATGCAGCTGCATGGATTTCTTTAGAAATTGGCAACTTTCAATGTAAAACAAGTACTAATTTGAAATGCTCACAAACTATAGAAGCATTTGAATCTTCAACCCCCGAAAATCAAATAAAAACCGCGCAGAAATGTGAGTTTTGACCACTTTGCACATTCTGGTCTAAAATTGATGGTAAAAAATCGACGGTTTTCACGCAACTGCATGATTTCCTTTAAAAATTAAAACTTTGAAACCAAAACAAGCAGCAACATGAAGTTTTCACAGTCTAGAGAAGACATCTCAGTCTGAAAACCCTGCAAATTGTATCAAATACTGATTTTTGACGCAGTTGAAAAAGTCGTGGTAAAACTACGGTGACCACGCATTTTCCTAGTTTTCTCCAAAAATGTGTAACTTTGAACCCAAAACAAGCAGCGATATGAAATATTTACAGCCTACAGAAGACATCTCAGTCTGAAAACCCTGCAAATTGTAT